CTAATTCTAATCTAAAATTTAGAATGAAAAATGAATAAAGAATAAACAGCATATATTTCAAGATAATCAATTTTACCCCCTAGTAAGGTAAGTCCCATAGAAAGTTTTGGAAGAATATCTAGCGCCACATGCGGACGGGCCGAGCGGCAAATTCAAAACGTAGGTTTTTAATTATAGGCAGCCAGATATGTACATATCACTGTATGCAGCAAATTAAAAATTAAGTTCTTAATTTTAGGCGGCAGATTCAAAAAATATGCTCTGAATATTAGGAGGCTAAATACACAAAGTATGCTTTTAATGGAAAAACAAATTATCAAAAAATAATAAATAAAAACTTATTCTATGCCAAAAATATATTCTCTCGAAGGAAATATAGTTGATGTTAATTTAATTATTATTAATTCTCGTAATAATTCATTGTTCGTTTAATTCGCCACAAACACGATATCAGATAGGGTATATATTATTGTACAGGAAAGTTTTTATTTAATATTTTATGACTATATCTATTTTCCATTACATTAACAAACCAAAGTCCCGAAAACAACAAAATAAAACACAGATATTCTGACACTTGTTTATTTGTATAATATTCTTTGGTAAAGTATTGGCAACAAATATTCTCCTCCTCATTCTTTAAGCCCTTGTCAAGGTGTGGTTAGCGCCACTCTAAATATTGTTAGTAAAACATTTTATTGCTGTTATTAAATATTAAGTGATATTCGTTGTTATTAAAAATAAAAGATATCTAGTAAATAACTATAACAGTTAAAAAAATCTATATTAAAGAAAAAAAAATCAAAAAATGTGAAAAAAATTTAAAAAAATAAAGTAATCATTTACAGTTAACTTTAATTTTCATTGGTAAATACAAATTTCTCCACATTTTTTGGTTTAAGTCTGTTCCTGTGGTCAGACACAACTTGACCTGCTTAAAAAAAATCTCACTTTGCACAGACGTAGCAGTTACACATTACTGTTTTAAAGTATTTAAAAAAGTAGGGTACACTGCCTCCCTCGTTTTCTATCATTTCAGAGGATCTTCTTTTCTTTTAATGGTTTGTTCCCCCGCATATTGTTTTGTTTCAATGATTGAAATCTCCAAAGTTGACTGACTCTTTGAGATTTTAGCAATAAAGTTCTTCCATATGGAATTCTTCATCACTATCGGAAACGTTAGTAGGGGCCGTTGGAATTTGCTTTGATGAAGTTTCTATTTGTTCATCTTCTTTAAGAAACCTCTGTATCAAGGTTGACAAAGACTCTTTAACACAAATCATTGCGTTAACATTATCGAAACCAAATTTAATATTATTAAATTTGTTCATACCATGTCTTAATGTTTCCTTGAGATTGGACGTACTGGAACTTTCTGTAAGTATTCCTTGTAGATATTCTCTTAAACTAGTGACTAAGGTGTTTCTTGGGAAGGTGTTTCTGTGTGATTTCTCATATGCGATTTCAAATAAGACTTTTGAGGAAAACACTTAAAACAACTTTCACACTGATACAGTTTTTCTACAGCATGTGTCCTCATATGTTTTTTCTTAGTGCCTGCCTCAGTAAACCACTTAAAACAGATTTCACACTGATAAGGTTTTTCTCCAGAGTGTGTTCTTATGTGTAGGTTCAAAGAACTGTTTTGGGAAAAGGACTTAAAACAAATTTTACATTGATAAGGTTTTTCTCCAGTGTGCATTCTCATATGTATCTTCACAGCACCTGATTGAAAGAATGACTTTAAACAAATTTCACATTGATGAGACTTTTCTCCAGTGTGTATTTTCATATGTTCTCTAAGACTACTTGCATTGGAACATATCTTCAAACAAATTTCACATTGGAGCTCTTTATTACATGCAACTACAGGTGATGTTATTATTTCTATTTTGTTGTGCAAAATACCTAAAAGAAACCAATTTTAATTTTTTTGGAAACAATTTCTGGATTGGAGATCAAAATGTCAAAACAAATATAAAATGAAATTCTCAGAACAATCAATTGTGGTCTAATCACATAAAATTTATTTAAATGCCATAAAAAAGCATTTTCAGAACTTCTTTACAAACCAATATTTATTTATTTAGCAAACCAATTGCGGACGTTGGACCACAAGTCGAGTAAGTTTGAGTAAATTGAGTAGCCTCAAATAAAAACAATAGAAAATAGTACCAAAAAAATTCATAAGAAACTGTCCAAAGTCAATGTTGATTATCTTTATACTTCTTTACAAACATCCTGACCACAATTATTTTAAGTTAAATCCAAACAACCATAAGTTGGGCAATTTAATTAATTTCACAAACACTGGTATTACTATGGATCCCTAATATTGTGAAGTAAATTTATAAGTTTTGAATGATTCTCATTATAATTAAATATAACTAGAACTAAAATGAACTAATAATGAGCAAACATACCATTTTTAAGATGTATAAGTTCAGCCTTATCTTCGTCTGCTAATTTAATGTCTTCAATACCAACTTTCATGGGGCATCTCGCAATTGCGGGCACTCTAACCTCATGGTACAATAAAATTCACAATAAATGAGAGTTTATTGTACCATGCAACCTAACGTGACCTAACCAAGCATTTATATGACATTCGCTTAAATGGTGTCAGAGTTGCCAAGTCTCCAGTTTTTTCATACTCTCACATAATATTATACAAATGTTGATATATAAAAAATTAATAGTATAGATTTTAGTTAAATTAAAGATAATAATCAAATGCATATACAATAAAATTGATTAAAATTATATAAAAAATTAATAGTCATAATTAAATTACCGTATATAATAGAAATGCATTGAAATTATATAAAAATTCAAATATTTTAGTTAAATTAAAGATAATAATCAAATGCATATACAATACAACTGATTAAAATGATATAAAAAATGTATTTAATATATTTAAATCTTGTAGCTTCTCATAATACATGTTTAATTGGTTTGAGAAGTAGTTATCAATAAAATCATTGTTTATATCAGTTTTTAGCGAATTTGCCTCAAATATGTCCTCCTTTTTCTCAGTTTTAACAGCATTGGAAAATGAAACATGGTGAAAATCAATGTTTTCTATTTTTATCTTTTCCGAAAAATTTTTTTGTTCTTGTTTTATTTCCATTGGACTTTGGGATTATTGTTAATTAATTTATAGTTACGATCACAGGTTCTAGTACTGTAAATAATCCCTCTCTATTCCTTATCGATGATTAGAGTTTATAGATATACAAAAAAATGGTTATTGGTTTTGTTTTTTGTCACAGATCACCTACTTTTTTGTTTTGGGGCTTTTGGGCATTGGGCTTGACAATTGACATCTTAAAAAATCTTAAATCTTGTCATTCGGTTCTTCTTTCTTTACTACATAGATCCGCAACTTGTCCGATTCACTGGATGCACTGAATCCGAAGATTAAATTAAATTAAAATTGCATATCTATTGTTTGAATCATGGTTTGAATGAATTACTTTGTAATAGTTCATTAATTTTATATACACAATAACAAAATCAATGAACTTATAACTCTACAACTAAATAAAAAACAACCTTATCATATCAAAATGTCTGAGTTCACATCACATCCTTGGAGAAATAAAAGCCTTTTTCACTGGCTTTGTATATTATTTTTTTGCAGATTATTTATAAATTCAAAAACATATCCGAAAATAAACAAGTGTCAGCATATCTGTGTTTCATTTTGTTCTTTTGTTGTTTTAGGGACTTCGTTCTGTTAATGTAATGGAAAACAGATATTATGTTCATAAAATAATAAATAAAAACTTTCCGGTACCAGAATATAATACTCTCTCTGTCTGATATTATATTATAGATTTATGTATAATAATGTTATATATAACTATATTTTTTTGCATAGAACAAGTTTTTATTTCTTCTTTTATGACTATCTATATTTTCCATTAAAAGCATACTTTTTGAATTTTGCCTCTCAAAATTCAGAGCATATATTTTTGAATTTGCCGCCTACAATTCAGAACCAAATGGATCGCAGGCATCGAGCAAAAAGATAAAAGAGGGAATCTAATCGTTATGAAAAGGAGACCAAAAAAGAGGCCTCTGATGGCGGACATATCCGGAAATGCAAAGGCGCTAAATTTAAATTTTCCAACACTTATTAACAATAGCTATAAAATATTTTTCAGACGAGAAAGTTTTAATTAAATATTAAATATAATAGTCTAAAAAGTGACACAATTGGTAAAAGATTTCAATATAAATAAAATTTCATGTGACAGTTGGGACAAACAATAACATAACCTAACTAAATTTGACTTCTTAAACAAGGAAAGAGACTGTCTATCCTTGTCTAAAGTGGCCTCTCAAGATGGCACTTCCTGTCTATCAATATGTTTACCCCCACTACCTTTACATTCCCTCTTTTGTCTTATTGCTCGATGATCGCAGGAGTGTGACGTCACGACTGTCACATTGTCATTATTACTTTCCAAACAAAAGTTGAAAGTGAAATGTCCAATCTGAAGACTTTTTAATTTCTATAAAGTTAACATTTTGCTTCCTTTGCTGCTTTTTCTTGTAAGCATAGCGTTTTTACGATAATACTATCATAATTCAGAGTTCTATTTTTATGAAATATAGTTTAAAAGTTTAAATTAAAGATATTCTACCCTTACTTTATTGATACATGCATTTTATTGCTATTAGCACAAAACAATGTGCTTTATTATTCACACAACCTTGTAAAATTGTTGTAGTAACTATTAGAATACTTAAATATTGCAAAAAGAGGAAAAATTCTATAAAATAATTGAAAAAATAACTAAAAATACAAATTATTCACAATAAACAAGGTTTGTTTGTAAAGTGAAACTGACAGATGTCAATAAAATCTAGGTCATCACTCCTGTGGTCCATTTGTCGCCAAATGAAATTAGTTTTGGCCCGTCCGCATTTGGCGCTAGAATCGCTCCCAAATTTTTCTATGGGACTTGCCTTACTAGAGGGCTATGTACTGTGTGTGTATCTTTTGTTTGTTGGCCTTGTTGCTGTTTAACCTCAATGTTTTTATTACTTTCTAGACTAAGTTCATTAAATCGATACAAAACATTAAATTTAAAAGCTTATAATAATTACCAGTGTTATTTTGTAAAATATATCCAATCTAGAATAATGGCTGTAACAATAAATGATGCAATAGGGATTTTAAAATCTATTGCTCCTTTAAATTTAGCGGAAGGCTGGGACAACGTAGGTCTTTTGGTAGAACCTTCACAAAATAAAATAATGCGTTCATTATTATTAACAATAGATTTAACTGAAGATGTGGTTGATGAAGCAATTGAAAATAAATGTCAATTAATTGTAGCCTACCATCCAAATATTTTTAAACCCCTCAAATCCGTCAATCATGAGTAAGTTTTAAGTTTCAGTATGTAGACATGCTTAAATAAGGTATCTACAATTTTTTAAATAATTAAAATCACATAAACCATACAAAATCTGAGAGATAGATAAAAGTTTTTCTTAGCATTCAAAAAGTACCAAACCAGTAGGCTGAGTTAAAGTAAAGTTGAACAATAGATTTCATATTATAAAATACATTGTCAATTAGCAAATAAGTAAAAAAATCAATTATACACCATTAGTAGGTGTCTATAATAGTGAATATACTACCTGTTTCTATTTCTTCTCTTTTTCTTGTAATATTTTATTTTATAAGAGATGCCAATTGATTGAAACTTCATAGATTTGAATGTAGATATTCCATTAAGTTAGTTCATAAAGTTAATATGCCTACAGGCAGTAGAGAGCATAAATTATATCCTAGACTCTACATAAATTTGACATGGTGACTCTCATTTTTGACTGTTGTTTTAATAAAAAATTTCATTAATTTAAAACTTTTGTTTATGTTAGTTTGTAGATAAGTATAATATAATTTGCTTCAACATGTAATTGTGGTATTTGTAGACATTGGAAACAAAGAATTATAATAAAGTGTATCAAAAATGATATAGCAGTATTTAGTCCTCACACTTCATGGGACTCAATGCGTAATGGTGTAAATGATTGGTTATCTACAGCATTTGAAGTAGAATATAGTAAACCTATAAATGTTAATGCAAATGATTCTTCTGGACGAACTGGCGTAGGAAGGTACATCACCTTACAATCTGCCATATCATTGAAAACTGCTATAGAGCTAGTTAAAGAGCTTATAGGACTTCCTTATGTAAGGGTGGGTGTGGGAAGGAAGAAGGATTTAGGTATGTTTATTTTAATTTCAGTCTTTTAAGGGTAAAAATAAAAAAATATTAATCATGCTCCTTGTCTGTCATGCAGAATAATACAAATACACCAATTCATGCTGAAATGATGTATTATTATTCTCCTCAATTCATATCTGTTTGTTCCCTTCTGATCTGATCATATCTTCCTTTCTTGATTGGACCATATTTGACATCTCATCCATTCTCATCACATACTCTTTTATCTAACTATTTGACATTATGAATAGGTTCATTATACAGATTTTTCAATTCCTTGTTTGTTCATCATACACAACATTCCATGTTTTGTCTCCATATAAAGGTCTGAGCAGCTTTGCCACTTTTCCTATAGGTCCTATTAACTCTTTTTGTTTTTCTCAGTACATATTTGAATTTCATTAGTGATATTAGATTTCCAATTTTTTTATCTCCCTTTTTCTCTTGCTTTGTTGTGATAGTGAGTTGATCATTTTTTTGCTCTGTATTTCTAAGTGTCAATTATAAAACTAACTACACTCAATTTGTTTCAATTTTAGATTCCTACATTAACAGCGTAGCTATCTGTGCTGGCTCAGGAACATCAGTCCTGAGTGGAGTCAAAGCTGACTTGTACTTAACTGGAGAAATGCTTCATCATGATGTACTCGAAGCTACACAACAAGGAATTAATGTAATTTTATGCAATCACAGTGATTCAGAAAGAGGTTTTCTTAAGTATTTCCAAAAAAAATATGACATTGAAGGAATTGAAGTTAAGATATCAAAGGTTGATAGGGACTGTTTGCAAACAATGTAACCATAACTAAAACTAATGTATTATGTAAATAGATATGTTTAAAAACTTTATTAAAAGATTAAAGTTATTTTAAATAAAATGTTCTGTTTTAATGAGCCTGTTTTCAAACTAGATCTTGTAATACACATATGCTGTTTGTTAATCTGGTACAGAATTGCAGCCGATGGAGACAGCAACCTAAAAATATTTTGAGTGTCTCCACCCACGCCTTAACAAGGGCTCAAGTAATGAGGAGAAGGAGGATATTTGTTGCCAATACTTTACCAAAGAAAATTATACAAACAAACAGGTGTCAGGATGTCTGTGTTTTATTTTGTTGTTTTTCGGACTTTGGTTTGTTAATGTAATGGAAAACAGATGTAACCATAAAATATTAAATAAAAACTTTCCTGTACCATAATATAATCTCTCTATCAGATGTTATGTTATACATTTATATATAAAAATGTGTATACTAAATTTTTGGACTGAGAGAATATATTTTTTGGGATAGAATAAATCTTAATTTCTTATTTTATGACTATATTTACTTTCCATTAAAAGCATACTATGTATTTCAGTTTTGGCATCTGGACCGCAGGAGTGTGACGTCACATTGTCGTTATTACTTTCCAAACAAACGTTGAAATGTCAAATCTCAAGACTTTTTAATTTCTATAAAGTTAACATTTTGTTTCCTCTGCTGCTTTTTCTTGTAAGTAAAGTGTTTTTTACGATAATACCATCATAATTCAGAGTTCTATTTCTATGAAATATAGTTTAAAAGTTCTGAAACTGAGAAATTTTAACCTTACTTTATTGATACATGCATTTTATTGCTATTAGCATAAAACAATGTGCTTTATTATTTACACAGCCTTGTAAAATTGTTGTAGTAACTGTTAGAATACTTAAATATTACAAAAAGCGGAGAGATTCTATAAAATAAATGAAAAAATAAAGAAAAATACAAATTATCCACACTAAACAAGGTTTGTTTGGAAAGTGAAACTGACAGATGTCAATAAAACTACGTCATCACTCTGGTCTGCCGTCGAAATTAGTTTCAGCCCGTCCGTATTTGGCGCTAGAAACTCTCTCCCAAAACTTTCTATGGTAATTACCTCACTAAGGGGGTATATACTGTGCTCTGCTTTAAGTCAAATAAAATAGAGTGCGCACTGCGCAAACACCGAATAACAGGTGGGGCAATGCAAACGCAAACCAACTGTACTGTATGACCAGAACAGTGTGGCCAGATTGGGCGATTTATCGCCAATTGGGCTACTTTTAATATGTCTTTGCGACAAAAATTTTAAGAAAATCGCAAGTCGCAAATTGGGCGATTTTATACTTTTTAGCACAAGTCATTTTTTCATAAATAGTTAAAGATTTCACATTTCCATTCAATATGAAAATATAAAAAGTCCCTCAATGAGCAAATATATTTTTAATCTTATTGTCTTTATTTCTTTATAAACAAAGTTATTTTATTAAAATTAAAAAATTTTCCTATAATTTATATCTGAAGGTACTAGTGGCGATATCTGTCGAAAATTGGCGACATGTTGAGATTGGATTGGCGACACGAGGAAAATAAATCTGGCCACACTGGACCAGAATACCTGAATACCAGATCCACAAAATAAAACATAAAACAAAAGGCACTTTTCTGCTATTAACTATTATATATTTATCTATGAAAGGCATCGAACATTTTACAGAAATGTGTTCGTAGTTCTCTGGTATAGTTGCATATAGTTGTAATTTGTAATAAAATGGAAGTAAAACAAGAAATTAGCGAGGAAACATGTAAAGTAGAAATACAGGATAATGACTTGGACGATGTTCTTCTGGGAGGCTTTAGATGTGAAATTCAGAGGGAATCCAAGAGGCAAGGTACACATGACACATAATATGATTATTTAGACTTAAATACTGAAATAAAACAACTTGGAAATAACCTTAACCCAATTAATCTAATTTACAATATTTGGACCTTGTCCACATTTTGTTACATTATTTGGGCAATGCTATTCCTATATAAGTATAAGATAGCTTTAACTACTGTTATATTTTTATGGAAAAAATTAAAAGTTCTATTTTGTAGTGTTGAAGCTCTTAAATTTTCCGCTCTTTTATAATACTTTGTATAGAACAGTTTGTACTTTCAGGCCATTATTTTATGGGTACATTATTTTTACATTATAAGTTTCATAGTCATTGTGGAAGCTCTTTGTGCAACACTTTTTGGACTGTCTTTACACCACAATGTTATTGGTTCTTTTGCTGTTGATATGCTTATATTGAATGTTTTTAGGGATGCATTAAAAGACAACAGGGCTGAGTATTATATGTATAGAAGACAGAAACTGCTGTCTTAAATTTTATTAGGGTTCTATTTGATTATTGGGTATTTGTTTACATTAGTGAGGTTCCCTAAAAATGGGAATTTTTGGTGGACTTAGCCTGAAAAATAGAAAAAGGGCAAAATTTTCATGTTTATGTCTACGGAAACATACAAAAAGTGAATAAATGTAAAATAAATTGAAAAAAGTTCATAAAAAGTATAGGAAATCAAAAATTAGCAAGAGAAAAATGTTATTGAAATACGAATTCGCTGTAATAGTCATATAAAATTTATAAATCAATTGTAAATACCAATCATTTTTCCGTTAAATTATCCAAAAATATGAAATATTGTAAAATGGACAAAATTCATTTATTTGGAAAAACAATTTAAGCACGTTTTTTGTATACAATATAAAATATTCCGCTCAGCTTCAATGTTGCTACATACACATTTGTTTTTTTTTTCGGAATTAATATATTGAATTTAAATTTGGTAATTTCTTTGTTTTTATACATATTAATTTTGCCTTATCCTCAAACATTTATATTATAGTTGGTTTGAATTTTAGGTTATCTCCAAGAGGAAAACAAAATAGAAAGTAAAGAGACACTGTTTGAATGTTCATCGTATGAAGGAAATTATATGAGTCGACATGCTGAAGGAAGAACATTAAATAAGCATATAAAAGATGGGACCAGCCAAAGACCTTGCAAGTGTGAAATTTGTTTTAAGTGGTTTAGTGAAGCAGGTAATTTAAAAAGACCATTGGAAATACACACTGGAGAAACACCTTACAAGTGTGAATCTTGTTTGAAGCAGTTTGCTACTAAAACTTATTTGAAAACACATTTGAGAGTACACACTGGGGTAAAACCTTACACATGTGAAATTTGTTTTAAGCAGATAAGTTCAGCAAAAAATTTGAAAGTACACTTGAGAACACATACTGGAGAAAAGCCTTACAAGTGTGAGCTTTGTTTTAAGCAGTTTAGTCAACCACATCATTTGAAAACACATTCTAGAGTGCACACTGGAGAAAAGCCTTACAAGTGTGAGCTTTGTTTTAAGCAGTTTAGTCAACCACATCATTTGAAAACACATTCTAGAGTGCACACTGGGGAAAAGCCTTATAAGTGTGAAATTTGTCTTAAGCAGTTTAGTCAACTAAATCATTTGAAAATACATTTTAGAGTGCACACTGGGGAAAAACCTTACAAGTGTGAAATTTGTTTTAAGCAGTTTACTTTTGCAAATAGTATGAAATTTCATTTAACAGAGCACACTGGAGAAAAACCTTTTAAGTGTGAGATTTGTTTTAAGCGGTTTAGTCAATCAAGTAATTTGAAAAAACATTATAGAGTGCACACTGGGGAAAAGCCTTACACATGTGAAATTTGTTTTAAGCAGGAAAGTTCAGAAGGAAGTTTGAAAATACACTTGAGAACACACACTGGAGAACAGCCTTAAGTGTGAGATTTGTTTTAAGCAGTTTAGTCAACCAAATCATTTGAAAATGCATTCTAGAGTGCACACTGGGGAAAAACTTTACACATGTGAAGTTTGTTTTAAGCAGTTAAGTTCAGCAATAAATTTGAAAATACACTTGAGAACACACACTGGAGAAAAGCCTTACAAGTGTGAGATTTGTTCTAAGCAGTTTACTTTTGCAAATAGTATGAAAATTCATTTAACATAGCACACTGGAGAAAAACCTTATAAGTGTGAGATTTGTTTTAAACAGTTTAGTCAATCAAGTCATTTGAAAACACCTTCTAGAATACACACTGGGGAAAAACCTTACACATGTGAAATTTGTTTTAAGCAGTCAACTTCAGCAAGAAATTTGAAAATACACTTAAAAACACACACTGGAGAAAAGCCTTACAAGTGTGAGATTTGTCTTAAGCAATTTAGTCAATCAAGTAATTTGAAAACACATTCTAGAGTGCACACTGGGGAAAAACCTTACAGATGTGAAATTTGTTTTAAGCAGTTACATTCAGCAAAAAATTTGAAAATGCACTTGAGAACACACACTGGAGAAAAGCCTTACAAGTGTGAAATTTGTTTAAAGCAGTTTTCTCAGAAAAGTAATTTGAAAACTCATTTGAGAACACATACTGGAGAAAAACCTTACTAGTGTGACATTTGTTTTAAGCAATTTTCTCAGAAAACTAATTTGAAACTGCATACTGAGGAAAAACTTAGACATGTGGAATTTGTTTTAAGCTGTTTTCTTACAAAATATTTTTAAAATACATGTAGGGTTTACAGTGAAAAAAAAATGTGACATTTTTTAAGCAGTTTTTTCAAGTATTTAATATGAGATTGGACACTGGAGAAGGCAAAACTTGACTGATACCTTAAATTCTTTTTGCTCATTTGGCCATTGCTAGTACCCCTGGTCATACTCACTTCTTAATTTTATAGGCATGTTCTTATTTCTAGGAAAAGTTTTATTTCAATAAACATTATCCAAAGAACAAAATGATTCTAAATGGTAATAAAATAGACCTTGATTTATTACCTTGATCTATTAGTTCTCCTATTTGGCGAATGTTTGTAAACAGAGTCTAAAGCGCCTATTGTAATTTACTATCTTTCTGTTTGTTACATGTAGCATATTTTTTATTTATTGCTTCTATAATTTTTTGGTTTATTGTATCATTTGTATCAATATTTTATATGTAATTGAGTGGTATTTGTTAATAAATAAATGAATGTATTATTGTGACTGTGACAGCACAGAAAAAGTAAACTTCCTATCAGCTTGTCAAAAGGCTGCTTTTTATTAGCATTCTAGTATTAGTGAATTATGTATTTCAATATAGTCTAGGAGCTGAGAGGAGAAGGGGTTTGAGTGTGCACTTTGTTATTCCCTCGGACATTGTCAGGGATAGAGCTAAAAATTAAATAAACAAAAATTATATAACGTTTTTTTATTGAAAGAAATAAATGATTAAATTAAGTCTATAAGTTGGTTATACTTTATTATCCCAGGAAACAAACCTGAAAAATCACTTGAAAATTCGAAAAATTTCTGAGCCCTATTTTTTAACTGGGATAGAATATCTGGGGAAGTCTCACACATCTCGTGTGTATCGAAGTTTTTACAGCGTCATAATTTTTTATTAACGTTTTAGCAAAAAAGCTACTTTTTTCATTCATTTCAATATTGTGAAAAAACTATGAATTCTAGATAAAAACGTTCAACAGACGACTTTCTTGAAAATACCTGCTATGTAAAATGAAATTTTCTAAATTAAAAAATGTTATAAACAAAAAAAATATTGTAACATTTGCCCTTTTGGCAGCAAGTTGCTATGGGATGTGAATTATATCCCACTGGTTGTACATATTCTGTAATTGTGGTTGCATTGTCGGCGACATCAATGGACAACCTCACAAGAATTGGTGAAAACTTAAATGATCCTTTATTTAACTGACATGGATTAACAAAAGGATGAAGAGTTGTGTTATAGAGGTAGCACCTTTTATCGTAATGACTATATCGAGCGTCATAGAAGAAAGATGGTTCTTGATAACTGGTTAAATTACCTATGAAACGGTTATATCCATGGCACTCACCAGCAGATAAACCGGAAAAAGTGGTAAGAAACCAAATCAATTATATAATGATTACTGAGTTGAGGAACCGAGGCCTAACTTACGTGGGTAATGTACTGTTAAAAAATAAGAGGGAGATACCTATTTCTTTTTTGCCAACTAAAACGAGGCTCGCGGGATCATCTCTATTTGGATTGGCGAGTTACATTAGTTTTATATGTACCTAAACCACGAAGAGCGGTACTTTTGATGTCTTCAATGCACTACAGCAATGCAGTAAACGATGAAACAAACAAACCCGAAATTATCGAATTTTATAATCAAACAAAACGAGGCGTCAATGCATTAGATGAAAAATGTACAGTGTATTCTACACATCGTAGAAGTTGAAGATGGCCTCTTACTTATTTTTATACAATTTTGGATATTTCTTTCGTCAATGTGTTTATAATATACTCATCCCTACTTGGAAACTCCCAAAAGTCGAGGTATGAATTCATCAAATCTCTGGCTCGGCAGCTTGTGCAGGATAATATGGAAAGAAGATTAACTATTTCTCAAATTCCAAGGCAACTGAGACATAATACTGCTTCCATTTTAAAAACAGACATTCCTGAACAGAAAAATGCTATTTTAGAAAAAAGAGTAAGGTGCTCAAAATGTCCACGATCATTGGATAGAAAAACGAAGATAGTTTGCATTAGTTGCAAAGCACCAGCCATATGTGTGAAACACACATTTGCAAAGATTGCCTATAAGAATGGATTGTAGGTTTTATGTTTTTGGTTATTTTTTTGTGTTGGTAGGTTAGATTGAATGTAGGAATGAACCCAACTCACCATACATGTAATGGACCTCACCAGTTACAGGTTAAGTTATAAAAGGAACTGATCACATGGCAAGGTAACATAGGACCCACTGGGGTTGCTAGTCGTTAGACGAAGTGTCTGTTAAGACTTGTTAATAGCAATTGAATTGTGAACATAGCAACTTAGAAAGATGAAAAATGCCACTGCTTGTTCACATTGCTTTTAAACTTATCAAAAAAAAAAAACTATACAAATGAATATCAAGATATATTTAAGAGCAATATTAACAAAACTAGGTACAGTAATTTACATACTAAGTCTACATTTAAAGAAATAAATCTAAAATCGATGAGGTCTTATAGGCTTCTCTACATCAAATAATTCAGGGTCTTGTAAAAATACAGGTTCTTTTAGGTAATAAGCCATTAGTCCCGCAAACTGTGCTTTCACTATTTCCTTTTCAACCTTATGTTGTTGCCGTTTGCACAAACCAGTAATGTGTCTGCCATAAATACGTCCTGTATATGGAGATTGAAATTGTGAAAGTAACCTAACATTTTTGTAATCTGGTTCTATTTTATGTTTACATAAAATACATTGAACTTTTTCTTTCTCATATGGATTTTCCATTTCGAAATCAGGGGCATCGACGTTGGTGCTGCTAGATCGAACAAAACCAGGTCCTACAAAAATAATTTTACTAAACATTCAGAAGTAAATCAGCAACTTACTATTTTTTAATATATGTGACGACAAACGTCGAAATACGTTCATTTTCAACTCAAAACGTTATTTAAATAAATACAAAAGTTAAAGTAATTTAGGTTATGTTTACTTTCTAAGAGTCTTCTTGTTTCAAATTTGACAATTTGTACCTTTCAATTTCACTTCTTACTTCTTTGATTTTTTGGACGTTTTCAGAGTACATATTTTTCTAGTAAGGTAAGTCACCATAGAAAGATTTGGGACTTTCCAACGCCAAATGCGGACGGGCCGAAACTAATTTCATTTGGTGACATTTGACATTTAAAACATAGGTTCTGAATTTTAGACAGCCAAAGTCAAAAAGTATGCTTTTCCAAGGTTATTAAAAATAGACAGGTTGTCTGGTAACTTTACACCAATCAGCGTCGAGAATCTAACGGCGGGAATGACGTCACTGAGAATGTTACATTCAAATTCATTCACTTTACTCCTTGAAATGAACTCGAAAAGCAGCAATGATTGTAAATATATTAATCTATGTATATTGAAAAAAATACTTTTGGATCTTTAATAACTATTTATTTCATTCAATCTTTAAAAAATGTGAGAGATAAGTACCTGCGGAGTTACAGAAATCATAAAATATTATTGCAGCTAAACATATATGTAGTAGAATAGCATTACTATATTAAATTGGAAGTAGATTCTTTCTTGCGTATACATGTGACTTAAACATGTTAATATACTATATTAATAATGGGTTGAATACCATTTACTTTTTTAAATTATTATGAATTGAGGATAATGCATGTAGTGGATTATTATAAATTCCTACAAACAAGTAAACGATGCTGAAAAAGAGATTCAACTAAAGATTTATATATCAGAATTAGTAGCTTTTCCCTTAACTTCGATATATTTAAGGAACATCTGATTACATTACTGGATTATATAATAGAATATAAAAAATATTAAAATATGATTCCATTAAATAGATACCTTTCAAGTTTTACATAATTAACAGTAAATTATAAAAATCAAAATCAGTGAATTAACCCATTTTTACTGAACATTTAAATGACTATACCTACTTACCATTTTTTTTAGCTTTTTAGGTTGTATGTTTATATAGTTTAGCTTTTAAAGTATCCTCATAATCTTCCATGCGAAAGTGTATACTACAAACTCTTTTATTAAAACAGGACCACTTATCCTTCCTATGACATTTACTCATATCCATTGCTTTTGAATTTTTACATTTTTTGGAAATGTAAAAAACATTAAATTCCTTCCATCCTTTTTGGAATTTTTTGAATTATTTTTGCAGATTGCTACACTACAAATATTTCTACCAGTCATCTGAATCAATAAAAAAATTGTATTAAGTTATGTTATTCCTGCATTAATCCCAATGTTACCTTTACTATATAATACAGCAGAAATAAAATCCAGTAAGAAACAACCAGGTTAAATGTATGTATCTTAACACTTGTATAAGATTTTTGGGTCCAAGTTGTATACTAAAAATCACTCAATAATATCTATAGACATATTATATTTCAAGATATTAACATAAACTAAAGCACTAAACTAACGATATTTAACAACAAAATATATTCTCCAAACCACTTCTCCTATTTTGTTTTCAAACAACTCGTAAAATTGACCCCCTGGGTGACGTCACACGTCATATTTCATTCTGTCAGAGTTACCATGCAACCTCCCTTTTACTAACCTTGACATTATTGTTTATTATTCTGTGCCTTAAACTAACGTGACTAGTAGCGCCGTAGACATTATAAACGTTTGGGCACATGCAATTCACTCTCCCTGCCTGTTCTATTTCACTTACACAACTAGTTGTGGTATTTACTGTGGAAATTGTTGACATATGATCGAAGTGAAGATAGTTTTAACTTTATTATTTATACTTACATCTTACTATTTGCTTTTTTGATAAAAGTATATAGAATGTTTCGGTTGTATACATTATTTTTCTCGTAATTTAATTATTTTATGTTTTCCATGTTTAATTGCGATTTATTAAAACGACATGGCAACACTGTCAAATACAAAAATTTCCTTCATTTGTAGCTAACTTAACTGGAACGTTCTCTATACTGTTACAGAATAATAAACAATTATTTATTATTCTGTGATACTGTTACTTTTTTGGTAATTCTAAAGTATTAATTTTTAAGTAACTTGTTTTTAATTGCATGTTTCGATTGAGTTTACCGAAAGTACAAGCTGATTATAGCCGCAAATGTCAAACATGGAACAATAAATTTCGGTATTGCAGTGTTGACATGTTTGTAGGATTTAAAATGTAAATTTCAACACTGCCATACACCAATATTACATTCTGTCAAACTCATTTTTAGCTGCGGCTATCTTCACTGGGACCAAATGTGAAAAATGTCAGATTTTTAATTTGTAAAATTAAAAATTAAATACTTCTCTACATTTGTTGCAATATCTTGAATTAAAAGTCTAAACTATAAAAAATGACTTTTAGAATACTTTTCCGTTTATTCCTCACAACTGTGTACCAAAGTATTTTTTAAATTAAATTATAAGTAATGATACCTTCATAAATTTGATCAAAATTAGATTTAGAAATTATGCCTTGGACCTTAAATGATTAAAGAAAATATATTTTTTTCATTGCATAAACTGGAATCCATAAAGTTAGCAATTTTTTCATGAAAATTGCAGAATAATTTAACACAAGTAGGAGTATATTTTATTACAAATTAACAATTATTTTTTTCTCAAATAATTATCTCCGTCCTTTTCCCTTCCCCTTGCCTTTAGTACCAGTAGATGCTTGCTGAGGAGCCTCGCCTGAGCTTTTATTTTGCCTGCTTTTCAGTTTGGGAATCATATCTCCTAAATGATACATAATGCTTTCTCTAGTAGGGAAACCGTCATTACACAAACTACCATCGTCATTTTTTAACTGTATTCTTATTCTACCACGATATAACATTTCTTTACTTCTCTCTCTACTGTACAATTTGTTTTCAACACCCACTTTCAAACCAGCCGCGACCAGAACATCACGAATTTCCTGATGGGTAGGATTTTCCACGCATCTTTCTTTGGCTATTTTTCTCCCTTGTGCCAATGTTTTTTTGTTGTTGATGTAAGCAGGATAAATACATATCCACCTAAAACATATGTGTTGCAATTTTTAGGTTATACTTAAAATTTTAACAGTATTTACCTTTCGCGATCGCTATGCTTTTTATCGGGGCTCCATTGTAATCCAGGACCTCCTGGATAACCATGTACCATACCACTCGAAGACTGCATCTTAAATTTTCATTTAAAATTTCTGTTTTAGGAAATATTAAAGTGACAGGACTAATATATTTTGTTGTGTTGTGATGTGACTGTCAGTGTAGTGTAGAGTTGTATGCATGGAGCTGGAACAATGCGTATTTCAAAGGAACTGTTATTTAATTCACATTTATTTGCGAGATACACAAAATTATTGAAAATACCATGAAAATGTAACTTATAATAATAATTGATATATTTAAAGGGAAATATTATCATTATATAACGAACAATGATGTTCTGTTTCTCTCTTCTGAAATGACAGAACAATTATTGATAATGCCCATAGGATAATGGATCTTAATTATTAAGCAAAAGAATACGATACAGTGATTTCTATTATAAACTCATATATTATTTAACGTTTACCTAATAGATCTCTCGTTACCGTTCCTGTCAATGTAATGTTGGAAGTCTATTGGAAGCACGTTGAAAGAGTTCAAAACCAAGAAAACTCTGCCTGGGGTAGGTTGAGGAACGGATGGATTGAGTAGCTCGGAAATCACCTTACTGCAGCCGGTCCTAAGCCCGGATAAAAGAGGAAGGTTAACTACCCACCCTCGGAAAAAGAATTAAACTAGTTATGAAAACTGCAACTGTGCCTCGGAACCGGACAGAAAAACACACAAAACGACAAATGCAAAGTAAAAGGACTATGAATGTCGGAACTTGGAATGTCCAGAGTTGGTATAGACCTGGAGCTGCTATAAATGCTGTGGAACAACTGGAAAACATAGGAATTGATATAACAGAAGACCAAGAAATAAAATGGCCAGACGATGGAAATGTAAAAATAAGTAAATCCACCATCTTCTTCAGAGGTAAAAAAAAAACGGAAGACATGAATTTGGAACGGGCTTTGTGATTAAAGACAGCCTAGTACAGAATATACTAAATTTCAAACCTCTAAACGAAAGGATATGCTACATACGAATGAAGTGAGAACGATGCAACATTTCGATTATCTTAGCGCATGCACCCACGGAAGAGTAGGATGAAGATATCAAGGATGACTCTTACGATGCCCTAGAAAGAGAGATAGATACGATGAGCAAACAAGATATGATCATGTGAAATTGACCACATCATTGTAGATACCCGTCATGGGAACAATATTAAAGACGTAAGAAGCCTGAGAGAAATATACGGAGACACAGATCATTGCTTAGTCAGAGCAAAAGTCAAATCCAGAATATCTAGCCACAAATACAATAAAATAACAATAAACCCACAATGGAACATGGGCGAATTGCACAATACAGAGAAACAACAAAACTATAGAGAACAACTTGAACAAACGTTGAACTCTGAAAGAGAATACAATTATATAGAACAGCTATGGGAAGAGACTGCCGAAATAATAACCAAGACAGTGGACAAGATCTTTTGAAGGAGTAGGCAGAAGAGGGCAAAAACATCGTATGACGAGGAATGTCCGAAACAGCTGGAAAAAGACAAACAGTAACAGGAAGACTTGGATATAACTGCAAACAGACCAAAGTAAAAAGGAATATGACGACTGCCGAAAAGAAAAATAATACGCACAAAAAAAAACTATGAACAACAAAAATATGAAGCGATGGAGAGAGACCGACCCAAACCAGGCAAAGTAATCTCACGGAGACAATCAATTCCGTATGATTTTCGACGATAAAGAAGTAACTGACGAATGGAAAGAGCATTTTAGGGACCTTCTAAACATCATACATGAATAACAGCACAAAGCGGACATGGCCGTCAAAAATCCCTCCTTTGAACAATCCCAAAAGGCCTTAAATAAGCTGAAAAATCACAAAGCGTCGGGTATGGACGAGATACCAGCAGAACTTCTGAAATATGGGGGAGACACACTACATCGCCAAATCCACCAGCTAATAACGCATGGTTAGAAGAAAGGATACCAGCACGATGGAAGGAAAACATAATAGTGCCCATCCACAAAAAAAGAGGACAAAACAAAATGCGCGAATTATAGAGGAATTTCACTCCTAAACACGGCATATAAAACTCTCTCAAACATCATTCTTAATCGACTAATCCCATAGATAAATAATATTATAATAGTAGAAATAGATAGGCAACTCAATGTATAAATTTCGTTCATTAGGCCCCTTGCGGCTGGGGTCAATACTAATCATCTTTTGGCGGCAAATTCGAATGAACACCCCTTACATACATACCCTTTAGCGCCTCTTGTGGGCTATTTCGTTACTAATTAAAATTTATTGGAAAATAAGGATACAAGATGCACAATTTTTTCTAGATATACGTATATTTATTTGTTGTTTAAGATAAAACAGTTATAAAATAATTACATAATATTTATTACACATATTTGCAGAAGTTAAATACAATTATTTTTTGCTTCCTGACAACTTACTATCATTCTTTTTGTAATTTTTCCATGATTTGTACACAACGAACAATACAATAATTCACCATGTTTAGTTTTGTTACTAGCACAACACAAAAATTCTTTGCTACAATAGGTAACTCAAAATAAACTTTAAAAATTAAGTAACCAAATTTAAATTAAAATTACTAAGAATAAATGCAAACGAAAGTTAAAGATAATAAAATAAAATTGAAAACTTGTAAACAAACGGAAGATCTGTCATTAATTTGGATTGACAGAATTGACATTGCTTCGTTTGATTATTTTATTTGGTTTATGATTGGTTAAAGTCTTCGTGAGAGAGATAGGCTGTCATTTCTCTTTATTAACTCGCTGGGGTCAAAGTGATGGGGGAATGAACCAAGTCATTCATATAAGATTCCAGGCCATGACTAATCCCTTATGCTGTAAATGTCCTAGGCCAATACCAAGCCGGTTTTAGGGCAAATAGATCAACTATTCACATTGAGACAACTTCTAGAAAAGGGATGGGAATATAACAGACCCATACACAATCTTTTCATAGACTTTCGACAGATATATGATAGCGTAGAAAGAAGCCAAGTATGGAATGCCATTGCGGAGTTCTCAATACTAAAGAACCTCATTCAGATGAACAAAGTGGAGGGTGGAATATCTAAAGTACGTGTACATATTGTCTATTCGCTTAGCTAGGGCATATTTTGACAGACTCATTGTCGGAAACCTACAACACAACAATTTCTACTTCTCAGCATTAATAGCTCAAGTATACTACTATTGCAGACTTCTTTCTTTGAAAAAAAAGAAGAATTATTCTAAATAGTGGAGGTGTATACTAAACCCATCAAATTTTCCCTGTATAAATATAATATTTGAATTGTTACAATTTAAAATTGTAGCAAATATTTGTATTATTCGCGTTGTTTATTTAATTTAATATAGTTTTATTATCTTTGTTTAATTCTTTTGTTAGTTCTATTTAGTTAATTAGTTAGTTATATTTTAAATTTTATTATGGATAGTCAAAGTTTTCAATTTGTTCCATCAGCTAATGCGTTGGTAAGTTTTTCTTAATAAATATGATAAAATGTTTTTTAAAAGTTAATATTTTTAGATTAGTTGTTTCTAATTTAATATAAACTTGTCTATACTTACATGGAGGTTTTTGTTGTTTGTTTGGGTTTATATGACTGCAGACTGCGGCCAGAATACTGAATTTATTCACCATATGTGGAAGATTTTAACATCCTCAAATGCTAATGAGCAAAAAGTACTATTGAACCACGAATTTGCCTAGTCAAATTACTAATATTTGCTTTTAGCATGTGGAAGTACACTTATTTTGTAAGATAATAAAACAACAGTTTATGTTAATGCTATCCAATGAACTGTTAATCTTTAATCATTGATTGCATCCTAGTCACAGCATATGGAACTTGCTATGTCTTATTTAACCTCACTTTGACTTTTTAATTTTGTAAAATTTATTCCCACTTTTTTTATTTTGTACAATAAATAATTTTATTATTTGCTATCAATACATTATACGGTGTAAATAAATAAATATTGATTGTCGGCAAAGTTCTATTTTATTTACTTTTGTTTACATTAATATTGACTAAGAGCACCTATGCTTAGTTGTATAGTAATTTCCAGCCACTTCGAGTCTGTCAAAAAGTAACTAACTTCGCAAAAAAATAATTACTAAAATCACTAGCCAGTTCGGACTGGGAATAGCGAACCGGGTATAATAAACTGTCTGGCAGCTTTAAAACTACTTTTTAACCTTGTATTAGAGAAAGCCATGAGGTCGGCCGAAATAAAAACAGAATTGCCATCGGTTCAAGGTCCCAAGCTATTACTCGCATATGCAGATGACATAGATCTCGTTGGAGACTCCATCCTATCCACGAAAGACATCTTCAACAAGGTGGAAGGAGCAACAAGAGAAATAGGGCTGAAGATTAATGGAAAGACATGGATTATTGGAGATTAATGGAAATAGAACGATACGAAGAGACAGAATAGGACAAAATGTGACGGTCAACACCTTTTCAAAGAAATAAAAGACAGAATCCAATCTGCAAACCGCTGTCTATTCGCACTGGATATGCTCATAAAATAAAAAAAAATCTATAAATCCATCGTCAGACCTGTAACATACAGATGCGAAACGTGGACTATGACCAAAGCAAACGAAGAAAAGCTCAGACGCTCTGAACGTAAGGTACTTAGAAAAATGTTCGGACCTCACCACAAACGTGATAAGATCAGAACCAATATCGAATTAAAAGCACTCTACAATGACGCCGATATTATCCAAGAAATTAAATCCCAGCGACTAAGATAGGCAGGCCACGTGCACAGATTGCATAACATAACAGAGACTTGTAAAACTGGTATGGAAGGAGATTCCTACAGGCAAAAGACCACTTGGACGCCCCAGAATGCAATGAAGAGATAACATCCAAGCAGATCTCCGGAAAATGAACATTCCATTTGACCCTAGGTTGATGGAAGACCGAACAAATTGAAAAAAAAGTTGTACAGTCAGCCAAGACCCACCCAATGTTGTAGCGCTACATGATGATGATGAAAAACAAGAAAAGACCCCATATATCTTTTGTGTTGATTTACACGTGTATTAAAATCATTTCACATCATGTCCCTCTCCCAACTGATTATAGAAAATTCTGCTTCTGGCTCAGATCGACTTACAGATAAGACGTGATTACGAATGAGAAAATCATGTTTAGTGGCTCTATACGCTTGATCCGAAAAATCAGGCTGATCTCCATTTCTATAAAAAAGAGAGAATGGTATAACCTTAAAATTTTTCATTTATCAAATATCTTGAGAATAAATCACGATACGAAGCCAAAAACCAAAGAAAAGTTTTATTTTATAATAGATAACATGTCGCTCAGTCCCAAGAGATAGCAGAATACCCTGCTATAATCCCTATACTCCCAAACTGCACTAACAAGTATAAAGGGCTATTATTACTTTTTTGTCATTCAAGTTTCACCGGGCCGGTGGGCCAGTCCGAGTCTGGTGCCAATATGTAGCGAAGACAATCAAAACTTTACTTTTAAAGACTACGCTTCAAGAATAAATTAACTATTTACTTTGTGTAAAGCATTTGTTAAGTGCGAATAAGACCAGTTTATCTGTAAAATATACTTCATCAACACAAACATCACAAAATGATTTGTTTTATTATATGAAAAGGTTTATTTTGATACAATACATAATTTCTACAACTATCATAACCTATAATAACCCTTGTCTCTTAAGATCCTCGTAAGTCTTTCTATTCACCACATTGCCTTGAGAATCTTCATACTCTTCCTCAGTTTCAGGTTGCCAACGTTCACTTTGTTTTTGGACTTTCAACTTTTCCCACAGTGCCAGTGCATCTTCAATCTGTGTAACATTTGCAAAATGTGCAGTGTTAGGAATACCAAGACATCTCATTCCGTGAGCGTGTCTCCATTCTGCAAAATGTCTTTGGAATGCTTTTGGGCCTTTATAAACGTAATTTCCACATATCTCACAATTGTAGCTGATGTTTAAACCATGTAGTTTATACAGCCAGTATGGTATAGGTTTTCCATCCCATCCCAAAGGAAGATTCTTTGGATTATAGGGAACATCATCGTCCGCTTCATCAGGACTATCATCATCACTTTCTTCATTTTCGCTGTCATCTCTTTCTCCATCGGTACGAGCTTGTTTCCTTTGCACATTTTCTTTTGTTGCAGCTCTCTGCGGTGAGACCCACTCTGCCAATCTATAAAAATATTCAAACTATTAGAAATCGTAAGATCCGTTTAGATTGGAAACATTCTTGTAAAAGTTAGAAGATTAACCATAGGTGTGGCCAGGTTTTTTTAGTTTGGGTCCTAATGCTGAAAATCGCGCCCTCCCATAGACTTTTTTTAATTTCCAAGAATGATATTTTCATATATGAAAAAGAGTAGAATTTTTTGACATAGTTTTCTAAATTCAAAATACATTTGTAAGTATAGTACAGTACTTTTGAATTATTGCGTGATCATAAGAAAAATATGGGTATTCAGAGTTACATACAGGGCGTTTCAAATAAAGGTCACCCCGTCTCTAGGGTAGGTAAAAAACTGAAAAATAATTGGGGTTTGCTTAGTAAGAAGTAAAAAATTTGATTACTTAGTAAAAGATAGAAAAGTTGAAGAAAAAAAATTTTACGCATTTTTTACGATTTTGCCGAAACTACTGGCAACATTGTATTGAAATTTTATACGAATATGTTTTGGAAGCTGATACATCCCATGAATTTTTTTATATCTGATTCTCTTAGAGGGCGCTAGTTACACGGATCGTAATAATATTAGTCAATATAACTTTTTTAAAAGTATAATTATTAATCAAAATTTCAAGTAAACTTAAACATCATTTAATTTTACACGAAAAAGGTACTCTTGGTAAAACTCGATACTGTGTACCGTTTTCGGAATATTTTGATTTGAAAATTCTGAAGTAATAATTGGTACTGGTAGTAATGATAAAGTTCTAATAGGTGTACCTCTAATTTCTCCAAGTGTGCCATGGAAATCTGACATTTATTGATTGTTATGACGATAACTCAACAATAATTAGAGTTTTGAAACCTTGTTATTTGTAAAATCAAATCAAAATGTACTCAAATGTTGAATACACTGACACGTTATTAACCTTAGGCGAATGTTTAGGATGTTAATATGTTATATAGTGCAGCTGTGACACGTTATGCAGAAAAGTTTCCTAGAAGAAACTTACCAAGTAGAGTCGTGAACAACGTTGTCGAGAAACTGGGAATGTGAGACCAAATAAAATAAATTCTGGTAGACCAAGAACAACAAGAACAATTAATAAAGAAAATAATATTTAAAATTTACTTGATCAAGATCCAACAGTTAGCGTAAGGAATATAGCAAGACAAACAAATACTTCTTCTTCAAGTACTTGGCGGATACTGAAAGAACAGCAATTACATCCTTATCATTATGACAGACAAGTCCAAGAGCTCTTGCCAGATGATCTACCGGTTAGAGTGGATTTTTGTGAAACATTGTAGCAAAGGACAACCCACAATCCAATTTTTTTAACATGCATTCTTTTTACGGACGAGGCCACCTTTACGCGACAAGGTATGTTTAACTTCCATAATGCACACTACTGGTGTGATGAGAATCCACGAATCAAAAGGGTATCACATTACCAACACTCATTTAAAGTTAATGTTTGGGCAGCAACTTTAGGTAACAAATTAATACGTTATCATATTCTACCTGGAAATTTAAATGGTGATATGTATCTTGAGTTTTTAAACAATTCCTTATTAGAGATATTAGAAGATTTAACGCTAAACGAGCGAAGATCTTTATTTTTTATGTACCATGCAGCTCCACCACACTTTGATAGAAGGTGTCGTAATTGGTTGAGTAATCATTTTCCGAATCGATGGATTCGTAGAGGTGCAGAAGCTCCGATTCATTGGCCTCCTCGATCATGCGATTTTAACCCTTTGGACTATGCAGTTTGGTCGTATATTAAGGAAAAAGTCTATGCTACAGAGGTAAATTCACGCCAAGAATTGGAAGAAAGAATTCAACGTCAATTTAATGACATCATAGCTGATCCCCTACCGTTTAGAAGGTTAATGGAATCTTTAGAAAAAAGAATAGACTTGTGTATTCGCGAAAACGGAGGGCATTTTGAACACTTACTGTAATTGAATTTTATTTTTATATTCTTAGTCATTAATTTAATTTTCTTCTTGTGAATTTTGTTTAATTAATAATTATTTTATACCAGCATCAATAATTACTTCATAATTTTCAAATCAAAATATTCCGAAAACGGTACACAGTATCGAGTTTTACCAAGAGTACCTTTTTCGTGTAAAATTAAATGATGTTTAAGTTTACTTGAAATTTTGATTAATAATTATACTTTTAAAAAAGTTATATTGACTAATATTATTACGATCCGTGTAACTAGCGCCCTCTAAGAGAATCAGATATAAAAAAATTCATGGGATGTATCAGCTTCCAAAACATATTCGTATAAAATTTCATTACAATGTTGCCAGTAGTTTCGGCAAAATCGTAAGAAATGCGTAATTTTTTTTCCTCAACGCCCTGTATCTTGAAAACGGATGGCGTTACAAAAATTTTTTACCAAATAAACCCTAATTATTTTTCAGTTTTTTACCTACTCTAGAGACGGGGTTACCATTTTTTGAAATAGCCTGTATATAAAAAATACATTAAAAATTAATTATAACACATTACAAAATCATTTGTCACTGAATGGTTGTTTAAAATTCCTCAACTACATTAGCTTTATCTATATTTAGAGCAAAGACATAAAAAAATCAAAGGATTTTATTTGATGTTGTATCACTTTACTGTTAGCTCTAGCTTTTAAAGATAGTGCAAACACTCCTGACCATGGAGCTGCGCGAAGGCGGAGTCAAAATTCATGTAAAGGCAGAAAAGTTCTATTGTAAGTGGAATTATAAAGTCCATAGTACAGTGCGTTTCGCATGGAAGTGGGGACTAAACCAAATTTCGTCTACTGCGCCATAGTCAGGAGTGTTTACACTATCTCTACATTAGTTGCGTCATTAACTATCTCTTTAATGGCTTCTATAATTACTTCAAGCTGATCTTTGACCACAGCAACTGCCTCAGCACGACAAGCTCAAAGAGTTTTAGATAAAGATTTCAAAGTATTTAATTTATTATTTATGACCTTCACAATCTGTTCACAAATCGTGTCTTTTTGGACTGCCTTCAAGATAAGAATAAACCAATGTTGTGTTATACAAAAAAACTTTGGATCTTCAATATGATTAGCGCAAGCGGATACCAACGCTAAATGGGTATAGTAATGAATGTACAGAATTTTAATATTTTTCTTTTTACATCTTTTCTGTACACCAGTAAAGTTCCCTAACATTATTGAAGCTTAGTCAAAGCATACAGCTTCAACAGCTTTCATCTGGAAACAGATATATCTAAAAACAATAGCAATCTGCTCATAGTGAGTAATATCAGAAGTCTTGTCTACAATCATAAAAAGGGGCTGCCCTGTAACTTTCTTCTGAATATCCCTTAGATTTTTGACATAATGTAAAAATTTAATTTTGAATGTTTGAATGAATTAATGTTTAATGTTGAATGAACATAATAACAACAAAGAGGTTTTTCATCTTTTACTAAAACTATAATTATATCAATTAGTTTCTTCATATAATCTACATTTTTTGTCAGTGCTTCTCTTTGGCTGTCAGTCTAGCCTCTTTTTTCTTTTGGATTTGAAGATCTACAGACTTATTCATATGTTATAACCATTCAAAGATTATGTGCTAAATTCATGGCAAGTTGTATTTTGATGCATATTAAATCGATCTGTAGTTTTATTCTATGATGAAAATCCACTAGAAATAAATGCAGTCCCTATCAATCCACATTTAATACTGTCATTAACACGTTTTGAATTTTAAACTTTAAATGTGGGTTTAAAAGTTAGTGTGGCTTCCATGTCACCTGCTGTGGCCACGCCTATGGGATTATCTGATACTACAATAGAAATTTAGTAAAAACTTAATAAAGCATCCTCCAAACAATTGTTACCAAAATTTTATATTAATTAATATCAGATATCATAAGTTTAATGAGTTGTCAAATACCCAAAAGTAATAATAAACTAAATAAACAACAAATACCTGTACACTTGGGCTTCTAATGTTGCAAGTTCCCTTTGCCTCAGTAATTCCTTTTCTTTGTTGGCCTTGCCTTTGTTATTTTTTGTCATAAGTGAAGGATCCAAAAAACCTTTTCCTTTCGTTGAGAATAATCTTTGAGCTCTTTCTTCCAAAGTACCTCCACATTTTAATCCTAACGCCATCAAGGCAGATTTCAGTCTGTCTAAACCTAACGATGCCAATTCTTCCCAACTTGAAAATGCCGAGAGATCCAAGTGGGCTCCAACATTTGTTAGCGCAGATCCTGTTTCTTTTGGCCACCCTGGGACACTTCCAGTATCCCAAATTGCCAGGACCTGATCCACCTATATCACAGTATAATACATGACTTGTTTTAATTACTATAGTTTAATTTCAAAACTGTAAGCAGTACATTCTCAGAAATATGAATGCTTTACTACATTTGTGAATTGTGTACTACATTGTTTAAAATGTTTTATGAGTTCTTGAATACTTCTTGTAAAACTTGTCAAATTCCTATACAAGGATTGCTAAAATCTTAGTGACAAACCATTGTCCAGAAATCCCTACACATATTAACTACATAATTAACCTAATAATTAATTAACAGTTTTTTCTCTGGTCAAAAAAATTATATTTTCCCAAAATTATTTAAATAAAAAACTAGAATAATGCTGGAATGTAACACTAATTTCTTGAATTTAATGCCTACAATTTTGAAATGATAATTTAACTATAGATACCAGTAATAATGGTAATTCTGAAAGATTATTTGGTCAGTCTAACCCAACCTAAACCATCGATACACAAATTGTTTTTATTGTAAATTTTCATCACTGTTAATGGATTTGAACATGACTTTAAGCATTCAATAATATACATAAATATGAAAAAAAAACTGCAAATAATCCTTCAGAAATAGAGATATACATTTACATACTTGTTCTTGTAGATCAATGTCTAAATCCTTTAGAGGCTTTATACGCTGTACAAACCAAGTCAAATATTCAATTAGACATAACAAATATTTTTTATATTCACCACTTTTTCTTTCTTTTGGGATATCATATAGTTGGTCAAACATACCCAAGTAGGTAATATAATCTACCTTTTCTATGCCTTTTAAGTTTATATACTTTTCATAACATTCATGTAAATCCAAATACTTTCCATAACCCTCCTCATCAGTAAATTCTACAAAGTTAGCCATATCCTCGTTAGGATTTTCCCTGGCTTTGGCAAATTCGTCAAATTCCACTGACATTGGAACACTAATTTCGTTTGGATGCCTTCTATAAAAGTCTTTGATTAATTTTAATCTACTATAGAATTCTTGAAACTCGTTGGGGCCCGTAAGAGCAGCTACTTCAGCCTTACGTTGTCCGTCCCTATCATCATAAAGATCTATTAGTCTCTCTGTTGAAGCCATATATCTATCAAGTAGGTACTTTTGTCGGTGGTCTGAGTTTATTGCTTCTCTAAAAGTAGTCTTTTTGTGAAGCATTTCTTTTACCATGGCATCAATTAAACGTTCTTTTTCTTCATGGTAACGACGCTGTTGTTCCAAAATTGTTTCCATTTTTGTATTAATTTACTTTTATTATTAAAATAAAGTGCAACAGCAGATGAATATAAACTACAAACTTGAAACTTGACAACTTAACCTATAATATTCAGATTCGAAGTTCACTCTTCTTTTTTGTATTGTTATATCTTGCCATGGATTCTGAAATATATGTGATCTGTGAAAATTGTTACCCAATTTTTAGAAATTTTCAATCCTTTTCAGAACTAAAGTAAAGAGTTATTTATACTGTGGTAAAGATCACAAAATTGCATAAATAAAAAGTCAATTTCTTTATTTCAGTGTCAGGACTTCCAGGTTTTTGACGATTTATTTAACATTTAAATTGCTGTGTAAATTTTTTATCTTCTATTTCATATTCCTAAAATATTTGTTTACTAATATTAATAATAGATTAGTCCTAGATTATTTTATTATCACTTTTTCATTGTCTAGTTAGTTTGTATATAATATTGGTTGTACAATAATTGTAACAAATTGTAATAATCATTGCTGTGGCATATGCCACAATTTCGTAATGATTACAAAGATTTAAAAAAGAAGTAGGTATACCAAAAACCATAACCATAAAAATAAAATTTTTAATTCTAGGTGTAGATATTAAAAATTAAATTATTTAGGTATTAAGAATAGATGTAAAATGTTAACAAATATATCATCCAAGATTCGTAATTGTGCTTGCTCAGTTAGAAAATATTCTGTAGCTACACTATCTTCAACAGAAAATAGAATAAATGTCGAACCTCGCACACTTGCCTTTCCTCCAAAATATCAAGAACCTCGACAAGTTTGGTTGGAAAGTTTAGATACTATAGACGAAAGAAAATTGGGTATTCTTGAGCTGCATCCTGATGTTTTTGCGACTAATCCAAGGATAGATATTATACATCAAAACGTTAGATGGCAAACTTTATATAGATATGTAAGTTTTGCTCATACAAAGTCAAGATTTGAAGTGCGAGGTGGAGGTCGAAAACCGTGGCCACAAAAGGGTAAGAGTTGTGACTTGTATATATTATTTTGCTTGATTTAATATACTATATAAAGACTAACAATAATGGTTTTTGGTTGTTGTTGTTAATAATCTAATTCTTTTTATTTTATGTAGGTTTGGGACGTGCTCGACATGGTTCAATTAGAAGTCCACTTTTTAGGGGTGGAGGAGTTGTTCATGGACCAAAGTCTCCAACCCCTCATTTTTATATGATTCCATTCTATACTCGTTTGCTGGGGTTGACTAGTGCACTTTCAGTAAAATTTGCCCAAGATGACTTGCATGTTGTGGATAATCTAGATCTGCCAACTGATGAACAAAGTTATATAGAAGAACTGGTAAAAAGCCGCTTTTGGGGTCCTTCTGTTTTATTTGTAGATGTGTAAGTGAAATTATCTATAATAATATTATCTTACATATATAATATCTTATAATTAACTATATAACATTTATTCATAAATACTAATCATAAACTAATTACTGTATTGTAATTACTATGAAAAGTTGTCATAGAAAAGGAGTTAAATTTATGTTAAATATAAATCGTAATAAACTCAAAAATATATAAGCTTCACTATTTGAGAGGACTCTAATTTAATTTTTATTTATTTAATTTACGGGACAACCCCAAAATGTTGCAATTTACAATATACAAAATAGTGGTTAAGTACCTACACAGTAACTTCTGCTGACCTCTTTATGTATTATTTGTCAGTGCCTTATTTATGTTTTTTAAATATCTTTATAAGAGAACATTTTTATCTCTTCAGATATCTGTCTAATATGAAAAATTTTATCATTTTTATTTTAATAGGGAAGATGTTATGCCTAGGAATATCACAGTAGCAACTGATGAAGTGAAACATTTTAATCTAATGCCTTCATATGGTCTAAATGTTTACTCCATGATGAAATATGATACATTAGTTTTGACAAGGGCTGCTGTAGATCACATAGAAAACAAACTTCTGGAGCATTTACACAAAAATGATACTAGAGCAGTGATGTCGAAATATAAATTGGATCAAAAGTGAAGTTGTTTATTGCTTTTATAAGATTATAGAATAAATAAAAAATATAACTGTTAGTATTATCAATTTTTATCCTTGATTTCCTTTATAAACTTTTCTTTCTAATTAGGTCATCTTAGGTCTTTGTCTCCTACTTGGAGACCTAAATCAAGACACGACAAATAGTTAATCACCATTTTTTTATAAAAAATATTTTATTTTGCTTCTTTTATACTGTGAGCAGCAAGAAACGGTATAGCTGCAGAACTTATTAAAGGTGGTGTGATAGTCTTGCTAATCACATGCATAAACTTAATAACATAAAATAAGGAAGAAATACCGAAGGAGTGGTGTACTGGAATTATTTGTCTGTTATCCACTTAAGAAGACTGGTCAAAAAAATGACAATGATAATGAGATTCTACAGTTAGTGATTCCATAGTAAATAATGAGGAAAAAGTAGGAAAAAAAAACTCATGATACTATCCCGACATGGTAAGTATTAGAATTACATTTATTTATTTATTTTCAATAGGCTGCTGCCCAATAAGATTAACAATGTAGTAAAACAAAATAAAGTATGAATATGACAAACTAGACAGACTGATGGACTCCATGGTCACCAATTCTAGCCTCTGTTTCTATGAAATAGTCATGCGCCAAACTTCCATTCTGTCGATTTATAAATTGACATAATATTCATAGGCTGTTTGTTACGTCTCCAGTGCGTCCACATCTACAGTCCGTCAAACTATAAATTCAGCTTTATTTGTGATCGAATACAATGAAAGCAGTAAAGAGATTCCTTTTTTGCTACATGCTTGCAGTGTTGGTAGATACGCGGGGCTACACAGGATGGAATCAATTTATACAGAGTTAGAAGACAAGTAATAGGCATTATTGGCAGGATCTTGGGTGTTATTTTGATCCTTTGGTATTAGATAAGTGGTTCCATATGTGTAAGAAATGATTATATTTTCTGTGGATTAGAGATTACATGACTAATCAACATTGACAAACACTCATGGACACACTAAAACTTCTTTAGCTAGAAGTTTTGAACTCCGTCTGGTTCCGGAGATTTCCAGTTATGAAGTTCTTTGATAGTATTTGAGACTTCTTCAGTAGTAAAGGGTTCGTAAGGAATATTATTGTAATTCTGACAGTTGTTTGTTGTGTCTTCATCCACATTCATTGTTTGTGGCGTTGAAAGTTGATTTCCCCAAAACTCGTGAATTTGTTTTTGGCCCGAATAAGATTTATTTTCAATTTGCGTGTTATTCCACACTGTGGAACTAAGTTTTCTCTAAAATGCCTTCTCTGCATGCTCAAAAAGTATATTGTCGCATTTCCGGTTGTTGCCAACTGTGTATCTAATCAGACGGCCTGAATAAAGGTCGATTCAGACCCATCAGTCACGTCTCGTCACAGTCCTGGCGCCGAACCGAACAATCCGTCATATAAAATATTCTTTAATAGAAATATGGCGCCGGCATTCACATTCATCAGGCGACGAACAGTTTGTCAGCTGTCATATAGTTGATAGTTCTGTGACCAAACAGGACCGGTTCGGCGTCGGGACTGATGTGTCTGAATCGACCTTAAACAGAGAGTTTTTGTTTGTCAGGCATTGTTGAGGTGTGTTGTTTTCTGGATCATGTCTTAAAGTATTACACAATATTTCTGTTAAACAACGATAGTGTTCAACAATTTTATGGAACATATTTAAACATTTAAATTATATCTTAAATACCTCTTTGTTTACTTTACAACTACAGTTCTGTACATTGTACGGCGAATAAAAAAACTGTAAAGTATGAAAAAGTAAACTAATATCTCATTGTTTTTTTTTTTGCCACTGTACAGTTAAATACTTTCCTGGTACAGTAATTTTGATATTATTATCAGTACATTTTGAACACGAAATTGTTGATACAAAATATTTTAAAAGTTAGAAATTTATACAAAATGGTAATTAACAATTTATCTTTTCTACATTCAGCCGAGATGTTGTGATCTGCCAACCGAGATCTGTACCGATTTTTAATAAAGTTCATTTTTTTAAAAGCGACTTCGCACACATAGTACACAGTTTCATTGTTATACATTTTAGTTCTGGATATTTTTTGTCACACACATTTTTAATCCAAAATTTGACCCAGCCAAGCGTTTCTGAAACTTTAGCGTTTCTATAAACTTCCTTTAAAACGGAATCTTCCTGATACTCGATCATTTCTATCTGAAGGGCAGCTTTATTACTCTTAAAAACGTCTGCTGCTTCGCTGGTTCATACACCATTAGGCTTGAAAGAAAAACTGTTGCTTCACAGTTGAACAACATTTTGTGAAAATCAGCAAATCGTTTTTTATATTCAAAATCAAGTATATCAATAAAACGTGAGAACTGGGTAACAACTGGGATTACGAGTATTTCTATATAGTATTAGTACTGTGCATTTTAAAAATGTAAAGATATTTATATATTTAGATTTAATTATAATTTTATTACTATATTTTAAATTTAATGGCGGTCCGCAACAAACAAGCTCACGGTCCGGATGCGGACCGCCACTTGGTGACCCCTGCCCTAGGTGACTTGATATGCTGGAGTATCTCCCAAACATTTTCGTACACATAAGAGGGGTCGCGATCAGTACAGCCTTTTGCATAACCTTATAGAGATGTTCATTTAGACCTAGCTGTTTATGTTGTCTATGAGATTTTTGGGAATGGCACCAGTAATAGATAGAATAATAGTTACTTTCCATTTTCCTGATTTGTATTTCTAGATATCTATACTTGGCGATCTTTTCTTTGTATTTAACACGTAAATTATCGGTGTTAGGTATCGCCACATCAATAAGTGTTGTTTGCTATAGTTTATTTTTATGAACGAGAGAGTAATTAGCATAATTTTAACTGGTACCTCCGACCACTCCATGGGCGTGCTCAAGATTAATTGAAAAATTACTTTGAATAATTGTAAAAAATAAATGAATTATTTCAGTGTTATAAAGTGTTATGTGTATGTAAACAAAAGTGACCTCTTTTATCACACACTATATTGGAACTGACTGGCCTACATTAAAAAGGGTTTTAAAAAATTCACATTTTTTTTAATTTTTAAAAATTACAAAAGAGAAAAAGAGTTTTTAAAACCGTCTAAGGTATGTTAAATAGATGAATAAAAATATTAATATAAAACTTACAGCTACTTGTTACAAATCCAAATCAGATTCAGAAGATGAACTTTCAGAACCAAGATTTATAATAACTGGCTCGATCATTTTATCAGTAATATTGTCCAGCTTCCACATTTTTTCCTCTTCTTTAATAGTGTGATTTACTGCCTTTTCCCAGTTTTCAGGTTTTACATTATTTACGGCCTCCAAAACAACTGTTTAACATCATGAATTTTAAAAGTGGTATTTTTTCTTGAAAATTCACTCTTTATCTGTGCCCATACCAGTTCAATCGGGTTTAATTCACAATGATATGGTGGGGATCTAAGTACTGTCATTCCACGATTTTTGGCAATTTCATCAATTTCGTATTTTTTAAATTTTCCTTTATGAAGGGCACACAACGAATAAAGTTTCTTTCTTATAGATCCGGGATGGTACGTAATATTTTTTGAACTCAGCCAATTCTGCAAGTCTTTTTTTAACCACTTGGTTGTGGGCAGTCCTTCTATAAGTCTGGAGTGATAACTTGCATTATCCATTACTATTACACAGTTCTTAGGAAGAAGATCTATCATTTGTTCGAACCATTCTTGAAAGACATCAGCGTTCATGTCTTCATGGTAGTCACCGGTACGAGTTGATTCAAAAGTTAATAAACCACCTTCAACAAAACCGTCTGAACTGCCAATGTGTACTAATATCAGCCTGCGTCCCTTTCCTGATGGTGGGTTTAAACCAGTAGATAAGTTATTTACAAAAGCGTGCCTTTAACTTGTAACAGTTTCATCCTGCCAAAATTTATTTGGTGTATGGCCCACGTTGATCCATGTTTCATCAAGATAAAATATTTTTCTTTTTTGGTTTCTCATTTCCTTTATGGTTCTTAGACAATGTCTTCTCCATATGACAATATCGCTTCTTTCTAATAAAATAGACTTTCTGGGATTCTTTTTCCAGCGGAAGCCTATTTCTTTTAAAAGTTTCCATAACGTACTTCGACTCATTTCTGGGTAATCCTTATCATCTCGAACTGAGACAAGAACTTTATCCAATGTTGGAAATTCTTGTCTAAAGAAGATTTTATGCACTTTCCGTCGAAGTCCTTCTTTAAAATGGTATTCTATTTGAAATTTTATTTTCCCTGGAGCATTACGTGGCATTTGAAAACTACCACATTTCTCTTCTTTAATAACTCTGTAAATCGTAGATTTCCCAACACCAAGTGTACTGCTAACTAACTCAACGGTCTCATCAACACTTTCACATAAACGTTTGTCTGTAAATGATTTAAAACAATTAAATATTAATGTTTTTTCATTAACTGTTAAAGGACCAATTTTTCGGCGTTTACACGGCACTTCCAAATTTTCCATAACACTAGTATACACAATAAACTGCACCTTGCAACTGAAGTACCTACTTTTAGTGAACTGTTAAGAATTTTGAATACGCCACTAGGACCTTCCTACAAAATGGAAAAACCCACTATCACATTTTCTGTGAATAAGTTTAGAAGGTAATTATCTAGTCAATTACTGTCGTAGATTCCTGGAATTAAAGAATTAAATGTTTGATTGTTGAAACCCTTACTTCGTGGAATGCACTCATTTCAGATAAAATAAAACGTTTTATTTTATCTAAATAATTAAACTTTATTTTGCAAATAGGTAGGTACTTATTAAACTTTCATTGGTTATATATAACCAATAAAATAAACATCTTACATTTCTTGCAAATTCATTAGTACCTGTTAACCTCCATCACTCCGACACTGGCAACCTTATTTAGGGATTAGTAACCCTCACAACTATTGTATTCTATTCTGCTCCAACCTTTATACCTGGTGGTCATACTCAATTTAAAATTGTTTTCCTATATACTTCTGTAAACTTGTTGACAAATATCTGTTTTTCATTGAGTCACCCGTATCAACAGTTTAGGGATTTGCATACATAATTTATTGTTTTATTACTCTCTCATACATAAAAATACACTATAGTATGAGATCCGGTCTATTATGTGCCACTGGTTGGTCTGTGAGCACAGTACGGTCCCATTATAGCTTGTCATTTTCAAGCATTCCGTCAGGGACTTATTGATAATAAGGAAGATGGTCGGTTTGGAGTCCTAGTTTGTCAACTAGTTCTTGGGTCTTATTATTATTTTGAGATCTCTCAAAAATAGGGTGTTGCGAAGAAAAGAAACAACAGATTTTTAATAAATTATATATTTTAAGGTTGACTTAACTAAAAACATAGGTACTATATACAAAAGTCCGTAAACTAAACAATGAATCGAAATAAATTATAACAAAAAACTGTAGCTGGTGAAAAAATGTACAATAACTAAATTGAAGACAGAACGTGTCCATTCTACGATTAGTCTTACTCGCCTACCTATTTGAACTGATGAAAACCCTGCTACATTACGCAGCGTATTTTAGAAACAATTACAATTGTCCGAAATGTCATACACAACTATAATAGATAATAACTAAACATATTATACTGATTTTAGACGTATATTAGAGCTAACATTATTATTGACATTTTTTCAGTTCAAAACATTTTCTACTAACAATAATACTCGTGTGAAAATTCACGAAATATAGTACTATTTCATCTACAAATGATGAAAACATCTTAACGTTTAAATAGGGAAATATATGTACAGTCTACAATTATTGTTTTCATCCTCAGTAGCGAAATCTTTAAAAAAATTATCTGCCTTAGTGTATGTGTTTTAATGTTTTATCGGGCATTTCCCAATATTTTAGTGATTTTACAGTCTTGTATCTCGTATTTCTCTCGAGATATTGCCAGGTTTACAACTCTCATTTAATATTAAAACTTTTAAAACTAAAAGTAACTTAAATTAAATTAAGTTGAAAGTGATAAAATTGAACACTATGTACTTATGGCATTTCCATGCGCTACTAACAGATTAAGCTTTTTTTAGAAATTTAGTTGGTTGGTAACTTCTGTTTCGATAATATGCTATGTGAACTTAGGTCTCAAAGCCCCAATATTTGCTGAATAGACACCTGTTAATTGTGTTTATGACGCTTCAGTGATGAAACTATTTTGTTATATTAAATAGGATTATATAGAGAGTAATACATCATTTGAAAGTTATTGTGTTTTGTACACTGTTTTAACAATTCATTTGAATTGGGAAAATTATCATTGAAATAATACCCTTTTCTTTCTTGTTTGTAAAAAACTATTACAAGAGTTTTCAAATGATATTCCACATGGAATATGTTATTTAATGACAGGAAAAGAAAAAAAAAAACAATATCTTCGAAGGTTTTCCATAAAAGCTTAATTTATTGCTTTATTTGCTAATGAACGGTTGCCATTTTCAAAGTGCATGACAGAATCACACAAAGATCTAGTAATATATTGATTGTTCTAAGATTTTTCAAATTATGAAACCTGACATATGATTCCATGTAAATTTATTTTACAAAATGGCACCCGTCCACCATTTTAATCATTCTGTCACTGAAATGTCATAAAAACAACAAACAGATGTCTTGGGTTGGTTACCAATAAACTTGTAATTAAAATTTTATGGTTCAGAAATTAAAAGAGGAAATATTACTTGAAAATCACACTGTAGTATTCATAAAAAGTATGTGGAATTATTTCTTTTTATGTTATAGTTGGTGGTTGTTTAAGATTTGTAGCAAAGAGACGTTTAGTAATAAATTATGAACTTGGTGTAGGAAACTGCTGAATTTTAAGACTATTGAGTATCAGCAAATCAGCGGTTTGAAACATTATAAATAGTGGCGGCAACGATATGACTAAGCAATGTAAAACCATAGCAGGAATCCATGGCTAGGTTTATTGAAGTTGGTAAAACGGTTTAAAAGGTGAAAGGGAATTGCCGTTTCTTTGAAAACCGTTAATTACTAGTTTACAAGTGGTATTAAAGACTAAGGTAAATTAGAAATATACTAGGTGTACCCGAATAGCAAATTCTGAGATTTCGAGACAACTTTTGAATTTTCACACACATTCTATGTACACCATATATCCAGATGTAAATCGTACGACCACCTGGATAAACTACAGCGTCTGGTGGCATGAACTAGAACTATTAATCATCCTTAATGTATCTGTCTGGTGGTAGATAATCTTTTCAGCGATTTTAGGCGATTGTTACAGACAACATTGCTTATTTCCCTATGTTTTAAGTTACTAACCGCCCAAATATGTAAAGCCTATTGTTTGCACCAGATGATTTATATTTAATTAAATTTTGCAATACAAATATAGCTAAAAATTTATAATCTGCACGTGCAAAAAATACGCTATAGTATAACTACGTTAATTATGCAATAAAAAGGTATAAAAATAAGGCAAAATAATCTGCAAATATAAAAACAAAAAATAAACAATATCCCGCTAACTCAAGAGCTGTAAAATCATTTCAAATGACGGTGTAACACCCAGTATGCTAAATAATGCCATGAAGATGTAAAGATGTGTACAAATTTCATCACAGTATTTTTCTTTTTTGGCAATTCTACCTCTCCTCTTTTCTTATATGCCTCTCAAGGCGACCCGAATCTTGCAGACTTTTTCTTTCCTGCCTCATTTAATCCCTGGGTCTTTTGATCTAGGCGCTGGCGTTGACCATTTGCGCGCTGAAGACGTGACTGTTTTCATACACCATCTGAAACAAAAAAAACGTCAATTAGTAAAGAATTCATATTTATTCAATGACAATATTCAAATCGAATAATACATATTTAAATGTCTACGTATATCAAGAATACTAACCAAGCAATGCAATAATTTAGCCGGTACTGTCAGTGTTGCCACATTGTGACATTTCTACAGGTTTTAGATAAATTGTTAAGATTTTTATGTGCCACACTAAGAAAATCAGACATATTTATTGTATATTTGGAAATTAATTAAGAAAACATTAAATTTATGCCATGGAATACAACATTAGTACTAAAAGTTGCAACAGGAGTAAAATTTTGAATACATAGATGAAACTGAAGTTCTAAAAGAACATGAAATTAATGTAGGATACCCACAATAATTATAACCAGTTACTTTTTTGGCAAAATTTATTTGATTAAATCCACAACCTAGTTCTAATTTATTTCATGAAGAGAAAAAGAAATAATAATATGGTCTAATATTTACCTCATCTTCGCTGGCATCGGAATCGTATTCGTCCTCACTCGAATAGGGCGAAGGTAGTCCCTTATTTATCAAAGCTTGCCTAATTTTTTCTGACACAAAGCGATGGTTGATTTCTAAAGCATCTTTTCCGCTATAGCTCATCGTTTCTACATCGATGTTCTTACAACTTAACAGAAATTGAACTATTTCTTCGTTGCCGGTCTGAACGGCACAGTGAAGAGGTGTGAATCCCATACAGCCTTCTCTAGCATTGATGTTGGCGCCGTACCAGATCAGGTGTCTCAGCACTTCCAGATGTCCGTGCATAGCTGCTACGTGGACGCAGGTTTGACCTGAAACAAAAATATTTATCGTTAGTTTTACAAGAATTATTACGTCAATTGTCATTTGCCATTAGTGTGTCAAAAATAAATTCGTCTGATTTGAATATAATTACATATTATGAGGAACCGTAGATGAAGTAATAATAAACTATAACTCATAGGTAGATGTAAAACGCAAAGAAAATAAGTGAAGCAGTTTTTTTTTGAAGTGAAGCAAGTTTAGTGTGCGTGTTGTCCGCTAGGTGGAACAAATAAGGGGGCATAATAATGTAACTGCTTCAAACTACTTGATAAACTTCATACGATTTTAAAACCATTGGAATCGAACTAAGAAATGTTATTTTTCTTTTAGTTATTTATTGTACTAAAAGAAACTAATCTTTGTATCGGTTTCAATTACAAAGTGTTATTTTTAATCACTTGGTATTAATCGCCTGAATTGAAAAAGGAATAATTCGGAAACAAGTGAATGCATGAATAAATTATGACAAAAATCACGTTTTGATCACTAATGGAGCGCAGTCTCGGTCAAAACTATTGTTATACATTCAACTCAGTCCAAAAAGCGGCTAACTAATGCAACGCTACTGTGTTCTGACGTAGTGTGATTGAAAAAACAACCTAAAAAGGCAACATCCGACGCTGGCCGTCTATAGAATCCGAATTGCGAAATGTGTGAGGAATTTCGGAAATCCCGCATTGTAAAATTTTAATTTGCTACAAGCCAAGAAAACAAATTTTAATTTTAACCTCTCGGATGCGAACAAGTAAGAACCTCGTGATTTCGTAGGCGTTTTGCACTCGGTTTTCTATTTTTGATTTTTGATTTCGTCCAATGGCAGTAGGAATTTGATTCTGTTTATTTTCAGGTTTTATTTACTATGCCAATTTTACTCTTACTATTATGATTACGGTTTGGAGAGCATTTTCCATTTTAATTTTAGACAGGAAACAAAACAAATGACAACAAGTTGCTTAAACAATTTAATAAATTAATATTTACTTCAAAAATGTTTTCGTAAGTTATCTTAGAATCCTACACACCAAGGAAAAAAATTATAATTAGTTTAAACAAAATTGGACAAAAAGGAGAAAGACGATCGAGGACCATACCGGAAATCGAAGATGCAATATTTTTGTAGTTAACTCAAAAAAGGATATGGTTTACTTTTATATTTTAATTGCATTTTAAACAACTTAAATCGCGTACATTATTTCTGAAGCAATTAATCTGAATCTAAATACTTCAACCACTTGTTTATTGTTATTTTATTGGAACAACATTAGTGTCATTACTAAAATATATAACTATGTTGCCACATTTTCTTCTCGTGTTTTAATTTTTCTATTACGACCATAAATGCAAAATCAACATTCCAACCACGTCCTTGAGTTACCTATAATCAGCAAATTGCTAAATTGGTAAAACCTAAAACTTTCTTCTGCATTCTTCGAGACATTGAAACTTTCTTTTTTGTTCGGAGAAATTTCATTGAATTTCTGAGAAGCGCAGGTCGATGCAGTGTTTAAATAATGTAAAAGAATTATATAACGCAGTGTACGCTTCTCAATCGTTTCGCACTTTCCTTTTTTATATGAAGTGTAGTATAAAACTGGTTATGACATCAGAGTTCGTTTACTTGATTCATCTTTTGAACATATACGGGGTTCGGGTCATATGGATGCCCACATTACAACATATAATCCATTCAGCACACTGAATATTTTATATTTATTGGAAATAAACCACAATAATTGTAATTACAATTGCCTTTGTCTATTGCTTGTCGCTTCCAATCGGGAAATAGTTATCAAAAAAAAAAAAAAAATTTAAATATAAAAAATTATGTAACTAAAATATTTATTTTTCCGTGTAGTAGGCACGATTCCTCGAGAATGAATTGACCGATTTTGCTGAAACTTTGCATAGTTCATCTTTATAGTATTTTTTCGTGATGGAACGAAGGAATTGGAAAGAAAAAAATGCAGTGTAAAGTTTTAACATGACTTTAAACGTATTTTCGTCTCATATTTTTAGGATTTTTCTGACTCTCGTCATTTTTAAAACTTTTTTTTGTATAAAACAAGATGAGTCAACCGATTGAAAATCCTTGCGTTCAATCACGAAACAAATCTCTGTAACTTCGGTAATATTGCTCAATTTTACTTCAAATTTGGTATGAATATTCTTGAAGTACTATACTTTCATATGGAATAAAAAACTAAATCGATTTTTTTTATTTGTGTTAAAACTATCATGTCTTTTCTGGCATTCTTCTATTTCTGCGCATTGTTCATTTAACCATTGTTCTTTCGCTTTCTTAATTCTGTATTTTATTTGTTTATCCACTTTTTTGTACATCTGATTATATTTGTTTTTATATTGACATTTTAATCCATTAAATCTAAAATCTCTTCCCTCATCCATTGCTTCTCTTTATATCTGGTTGGTAATAGAATTTCTGACCTTCTCCCTCCTCTATAAAGACGAAAAAAGACAAAAAAAAAGAGGGACAACGAGACCTAAAAACCTTAAAGTCACCAACTGGAAGCGTAAACTCCATACTAAATCGGAATGGCGGACTTTACAGGCCAAGACTTACAAAAGGTTGTGTGTGCTACCGATGAAGATTACCTTAACGTGGTTAGAAGTATAAAAAATTAGCTACTCTTTGTATTCGTTTCAGATTTCAAAAATGTTCTTTTGCCTGCGTGTCAAAATTGTTGAATACGATGAATAACTCGCACTCAACGAGTACTCAAAATTAGAGTGACGAAGTGTTTTAACGCAAGAGTATCAAGATAACTACCATTGAATGAAGTTGATAGTTCATAGTACAATAAACACACTTCAAAAACGGAAATCATCTAACAGGTGATTGATAGTCAAATGTAACAGAAGAGAAGATCAAAGTCTGTTAGAAAATATAAATAATACAAATCACTTCGAACAGGTGAATGAGCAGTGATAGTTTAAAATTTGATTGTGATAGTGATAAGAGTATACGTGACAATTAGAATATATTTTTTAAATAAATATATTAGATACGTCTACAATAGAGTTCATCAAAAAAAAAAATATTTTTGTAATTTTTCGTTTTTTACGCTTGATGCCAGAAATGAAAAACTGATGAAACTGTTTTTAAACGTTTGGAAAATGACAAAATATTCCACTGTTAATATAATTAATAATTACGAAAAAAACCAATTGGATTTTCCTAATTAGAGCAAAATGCCAGTGATTAGTCTAAATTTGATAAATTTTTTTACGACTAAAATTACGGCCTAATTGATCAAATATCACCTAAACGTATCAAATATTGTTTTCTTTTGCGGCATTCTTTGAATTATACGTAATATCACATCCAAAGTATAACACAAGTATAATCACAAGTATAACAATAATATAAATATGTCAACTACTTTTTTGACTTATAAAAATTTCTTCCGATAACCTCTATCGAATCTGGCCAAATTTTCATAATGTTGGGTATATTGTAGCAATATAACTGGCTATTTCGTTTGATTGGTTTATCGAAGTAGATAAAAATTATCAATGGTAAACAATAAAATCGGCAATTTTTAAATTTAATTAACAGAAAATACTAAGTGAACGAATGTGCGTCATTCCAAAGGACAATGTTTACAACATTTCATATTATGTTTTTTTTTTGTTTAATATAAATATTTGCATCATGGAAAACACTGGTTACTTTTTATTTTCTCCTCTTTCTAGAGAAGTGAGATATCAAATACAAAAAGCAAATAGAATGGCAGGATGCATTCTCAATGGAGACATCGATATGGAATAAAGAATATATAAAACCAGTATCAGACCAATAATAATGTATGTAGGCATTAGAAACCAGAGCCGACACACAAAGAGTTATTTTAATAATTACAAAAAACACGCTGAGTAAAGACGTCACAAAAATACTTCAATTTTATCGAATTCGACTAATTGACAAACATTTTAATCGTCTGTGACCGTGCATCCAACAAAATCGTTACCATTTTACTACAAGGAAACTGGTTTCTATGATGCAGTACTGCAGAATTGATATCATCGACGATTTTGTCCAATGACACCGCAGTATCGTGAGTGGCCGGCTTTAGACGGCGATGTAATCATCCAACGGACAAGTTTGCTCCTGTTGCTCATGGAAATGCCCCTGTTACTCATGAACATGCTCCTGTTACTCACGGGCATGCTCCTGTTACTCATGGCATGCTCCTGTTACTCATTAGCATGCTCCTGTTACTCATTAACATGCTTCTGTTACTCATGGACATACTCCGGTTACTTAAAGAATATCTTTTAGAACCATTGACTCAGTTAACCTTGAAGCAGGTCGAAATACAAACGCAAAAACCAAAAGCACCCACAATAGTTCGAAAATATAATCATAAGTAATCAAAGCACAATTATTGGACATACATTGAGAACTATCATTTCTTTAGATGCATATATTATGTAAAAACTGTATTACCTAATGAGTTTTCTTTCGAATTTATTTAATTTAGAACCTTTATTAAATTACCTACTATTTTGAGACAACTTAAAAATTGATTTATTTTGAGCAAATTTACCAAATCTTTTCTTTAATAAATTCCTGAACTAGGTATAAACGAAAACGTATCAATTTTTGCATTTACAAAGGAATAAAGTTCCTGGTCACAGCTAACTAAAGTTGATTAATACGATTCAAAATCACAGTTTTTTATTTAAAAAACCTTGAATCGACTACGCAAATCCGCAATTAATGTTGGAATTTCCTAATTCTTCTACATTATGCTATTCTGCGGTAACGGTGGACAGCCCTCAATCTAATTCAGCGATGGAAACATTCATCTTAAGAAGGAGTGTTACTCCGGCTCTCGTGATAAAAACTACGAATCCCAACGTTTAAATTTTATACAACTGTAATTTTTTAACATAATTCGTGTATGAACTTTTTATATATTATATACAGATGTTGTATCCTACCATTCTACACATGTATATTTAT